CCTCTTATTAAAGATCCTATAAGCTTTACCTACACAGGAATAACCTAAGAAGACTCTTTCATTGTATTTGGGATCAAATTTTTCTAGAGGAGATTTTCAATTTATAAGGGTAAAGTATTTACTACCAAAGACATGAAGATGTGCAAGATTGGATGTTCTATCCTTAAGAAACTCATAGGGTATCTTATTAATTTTTTATCTAATTACCCTATTAAGAAACTCATAGGGTATCTTACTAATTTTTTATCTAATTACCCTAATCAAAATATAACAAGAAGTATTCATTACTTATGTCCAAAAATATCTAGGGAGAAAATATTCAGCTAAAATTGACCAAGTAGCTTCCATTAATGTTTTATTCTTTCTTTCAGTTATCCCAATCTACTAAGAGGTCCTAGGGGCAAAAATGTTATGTTCAATTCCTAACACCTTATAGAAGGATTCAAACATATTATTCTTAAATAATCCATCATGATCAATATGGATGATAGATAATTTGCATCCTATTTTTTTTTTGAATCCAAGTGGAGAACATTCTAAATTTCTCAAATGATTCACTTTTCTGAGATAGGAATCTAACATAGGTGAATCTATAGTAATCATTAACTATTACAAATCCAAAAGTTTTTTCCACCTAAGAAGGTTCTACTAATAGGTTCAAACAAGTCCATATGTAAGATTTCTAGTAGTCTTGAGGTGGTGATGTCCTTAATGGATTGAAATAATGATTTAAATTATTTTCCTAATTAGTAGGTATCACATGGGTATCCTCTAATTATGTCTTTGTGAGTTATTTTTTTAAGTGTCTTCATGCTTGTATGACATAGTCTCTTATGATATAGCCATAATTCATTAACAACAAATTTCAAAAATAAAAATTTTAAATAATCAACACAATTCAAATCAAACAAGTAAATATTATTTATTATTTTTCCTTCTAAAATAAATTTTCCATTTAAACTAATCAAATATTTTAGTAGATAAAAATTTTATGTCAAATCTTTTGTCACACAATTGATTAATACTAAGCAAATTATATTTTAATCCATCTAATAGTTAAATATTTTTAATAAAAAAATGTTTAGAGTTACTAATCATACCTGAGCCCATCACTTTCCAGGTGATATTATCTCCAAATATAACCTTGTCTCCAGCCATAACCTCTAGAATGATGAATTTCTTAATATCTCCATTCATGTGCCATGAATATTTAATGTCTAGGTACCACATGCTCTCACTAGGTATTTTGTAAAATCATACCTACAATGTTAATCAAGGGTTAGATTTAAGAACCCAAGTGAATTTGGGTTCCACCTTATACTTTAATGGATGAGTTAGATATATATTATGATGTGATGCATATGACTTTTTCCTTCACACTATATGTGTTCTACAATGTATAGTGCAAGTGCAAGTTATGTGTCCTACCATGCCACAAGAATAGCACCTAACACCTGCAAATGGATTCACTAATCTATGTGAATGGTAGTGCCCTCCTTCTAGGGATAAGAGATGTATACTATACTTTAGGCTTATACTATTATGCTAGTGTGGGCGGTGGTTTATTGTTTTGAAGTGCATTAATTTTCTCTTTCAAAAACTAGTTGCCTTCTCATAGATGTCAACTTTAATTTTTAATGCATGCTCACTAGGTATAGTTTGGTCGCAAGTGTTTCTAATTCCTTGAATACTTCTTCTAATTCAATATGTTTGAATTTCAAGGATTCATGCAACTTGCTTGTTTTTTTATTCAAATCATCAAATTCATGTTACAGAGATGCATGTTCTTTGTCTAATGAAATATACTCAAACTTAAGATATGCATGCTATCTAACTAATAAGTCATGATCCCATTTTATATCTGAAAGTTCTTTTTTTTTTAAATTAGCATGCAATTTCCTTAGATTCCTATATAAGTCATAAATTTTTTCATAAATATTAAACAGCTCATTATAGGATAGTTTACTTATCACACTTGATCAAAATGATCAAGATTATAATTTTCCATAAGGCACAAATTTGTTACCTCCTTGTCTACTTTGTGTACTGATGAATCTGAGGTAGAGTGCCTAAAAGGATTTTTGAATCCTCACTTTTCCTTTTTGAAATAAGATTTTTCTTTATCCTTCTCCTTGGTTGGGTGAGTCTTTACATTAGGGCAACCAAATCTCACAAGTCCTGATTTTGGCCATTCAAAATAGATAGTGTAAGAGAAAACTTTAGTACTTTTACATGATTTTACTTTATTCCACTATTGATGACACCTTTGCATTTGCTTTAGAAAGCTCTTGAATTATCAGGTTATCAATGTTATATCATCTTCTTCTCTAGTTGTAGAGCTATTGCTATCAGAATCATCAGCCTTCAATGCCACAATCTTCTCCTTCCTCCTGTCACATGCATCCAAAAGTCTTTGACTCAAAGTTTGCTCATAAGCAATGAGAGATAGTGGTGACTTTTACATAAAGTAAATCTTTAAAATTTTAGATTCATAAATAGTGGTGACTTTTACATCAAATCTATCAAAACAATGAAGAACTTTACCTACCTTTTCAAAGTATGATACTTCTCTTCCTAGAGCATGCAAACATGTCACTATCTTAGTAAAATTAGTGTACATGTTAGAGATATTTTTATTTAGTTTCATGCAAAAGAGTTTGTAATCATGTAGCAAAATGTTTAATCAAGAATGCTTAACTTTATTAGTTCTCTTATAAGTAATACATAACCTATCCCAGATATCCTAGCAAGTAGTATAGGTAGAGACTCGCATATAGTCATCTGATTTAAGTGCACAAAAAAATAGTCCATATATTTAGCATTCAGATGTTTAAGGTTTTTATCCTCATTTCTCCATCACTAAAAAGTGTTTCAACTTTGATGTCATTTATAAATCTAAATAGTGCATAATAACCTTCTTGCATCATATGTCATATTCCAAATCAATCGACTATAAAAACGTTGACATTCTTATTTTTCTAAAAATTAAATGGAATATTATCGAATAACTATTTATTGAATAAGATGAGTTATTAAATAACCCTCAACAGTATTCTTATTTTCAAAATATGTCATTTGAACTTTTCTCAGGGATTTTAAATCAAAAATTATGAGACGCTTTCTAATACCAATTGAAAGTTCAATTTGGATTGTTATGTAAGTGCTCAGATGGCACTAGAAAGTGCTCTGAAAATAATTGAAAGTTCGTTAGGGATGTTAAGCCCTCATGAACTGGCCCAAAGCTAACAAAGAGAAGAGGTGAATTGGATAACTTAAAAACCCAAGATAAAACTCAAACCAAAATAACCACAGAAATCAAAGTGCGGAAATTAAATAATGCGGAAGCAGTAAAAAGAAAGAACACACCAGATTTATAGTGGTTCGGTCAAACCTTGACCTACGTCCACTCCTTGGAAGCACCCTCCAAGTATTGCACTAAAATAAGTGTCTCTCCTTTAGCCCCCACAACTAGGCGGAGAAGCCCTTACAAAATCACTTCCACCTTCCCCGGTGCGGCGGAGTCGCCGGGTCCTTTGCCATTTCCCGAATAATGTATTTTGGGACGTTTCTATTCTGATGGGTTACTCTATTTCCTTTTGTGGTGGCATTGTGCATTTCCATTGGGTGTATTGTCCTAAGGCCTATACTTATTTTGGGAGGAATTTGGTGGTTTTATTTACTGGAAGTTGTTTGGCTGTTATGTGATACACTGGTGGTTCTGTTACCTCTTTTTTGTCCTATTAGTTTTTTGGAGGATCTTTTTTTGTGCAGGTCTGTGTGCTTCTAATTTTTTTGGACAGGCAGCTCGTGCTGATCGTCATTATCTGCTGCTCTCCTTTTTTTGGGTGCACTTGCTTGTGCACCGTAGAAGGTTCTTAAGGTTTTTTTTTTATTTTTTTTTTTTTTTTTTTTTTTTTTTTTTTTTTTTTTTTAGTATTTTGAGTAGTATGGATCTTGAGCTCATAGATTTTTTTTTGCTTTCTTCTTGTAGCTCCTTGGGGCAGTAGAGAGCTCGAGGTCCCTTTAAGGACCTTGTAATTTTACTTTTAATCAACGCATAGGCCCCTCCAACATAAAATTTAATTCAATTTTAATGAAAAAGCTTAATAAAACTTTAACAATTATAAAAGATAATTTAATGATATTCCATCAAAATAATGAGTTCCAAGAGACTTGATCACACCCTAAACTTAATTAAAACTGATCCAAAATTTTTGTGTTCTACAAAAACAACTTGAATGATTGCCCTTTTCCTTCTTTCTTGTCTTTCTTTTTTAATATGTATTTTCCTTGCCATCCCTGCATCCAAATTTTTATTAGTCAGAAAATGCTATCCTACCTCTATTATACAAGTTTTCATCCAAATATTAAATAACTCATCTTTTACTTATATGAAATTCGAAATAATTTAATCACATAAAAATACATAAACTCAATAGTTAATATTTTATATATATATGAGAATTAACTTTATAAATAAGAAAGATTTCAATATTGTGCGCTAAAAAAAAAATCAACTTCAAAATGAAAATCTTTCTATACAATTCAGCATTAATTTCGAACTTAATTGGCATATCAAATTCGAACTCCAGTAATTAGCCTAACAACTAAAAAGGCTTGCAATGTCTAATAAATTGCACGCTTAAATCATACAGTTACTAAATTCATCTTGACAATATGATAGTTAGGATTATTCTTATTACATTAGTCTTTCGATTTTGTGGGCATTTCAATCATCACTAAATATACATCACATATAAAATGTTACAATAATTAAGAAAAAAAAAACAAGCTAGATTTACAAATCAACAAAATTTTAACAACTTTTCACCATAACTTTTTCTAACAGACCAAACTAAGATCACTACATTTCTTAAATATTATACAGCAGCCAAAATTTTACACCTTTAAATTATGAATGAGCTTCATATTTTTTGAATAAGCTTTAAAGCAATGGCTGGCAACTGAAATCTTAAATTCCAAGTAGGTTTATAAGGGCAGGATTAGAAAGCCCTAAAGGAAGCCTCAGATCCTCCAATAATCAAATGCAACCACAAAAAATCATGCAGCAGGATCTAATTCTTCGTCCAATAATCAAATGCAACAATTAAAAATCAAGCAGCAGGATCTAATTCTTCAAATCCTTTCTTGAATTTTTCCACCATCTGTAACTCATCTTCTTTACTTAGCTTGCAATTCCTCCAATCTGCTCTATCTGCCATGTTTAAGAGGCCTGCTAATACCTGTGAAGTAATTTAAAGATAATTATTATTACTAATTTGATGGGTTAGGAATTACAATTTATGGTGGTAAGAGAAACCACTCTATCATGGAAAATATGGAAAATCTACACAGCCCATAAATGAAAAAAAAGGAAAAAATTGACTTGGATAAATAATCAAATTTTAATTAAGATAAATCTCAATATTATTAAATTTAAGATAAGTGCAATATAATTTTTTATTATCAATAAGTTGCACTCATCTCAAAATAAATCTAACTATTTTTTAACCTCATTATTTTTTTCCCAAATATAAAGTAAAAAACTTGAGATGGTATAAAAGCCAAAGGAATGCAACAAATTCTATGATAAATGCTTGATTAGAAAATTTTGGTCAGGATATCCTGATCAAAATTCTATTAAGATGATCTCAACATTTTGGATTTATTTTGAGAATGTTGACCTCTGGATTATGGCCAAATGAAACAAAAATGAAGTGAAATACACATCATACCTTATCCGACGAATCCACGATATCTGCCCGAAATCTTGAAAATCTGGCTCAAATCCTGCCGAGGCACTGTTCCTTCGGCGCCGCTCACGTCGCCTCCCGTGAATCTCGCGAATCAGCTCCGCGATCGTTGCCTCATTCGCTTCCTTAAATACCCAATTGAGCGAAAATTTGAGATGGTATAAAAGCCAAAGGAATGCATTAAATTCTATGATAAATGCTTGATCAGAAAATTTTGGTCAGGATATCCTGATCAAAATTTGATTAAGATGATCTCAACGTGTCGGATTTATTTTGAGAAGTATTAAAAATAAATTTTGATTACCCATATATTATACTTATCCTAAAACAAATTGTTGAGACTCATCCTGCCCAATTTTTCAACAAAATGCTAAGTCAGAAGTAACAAATTGGCGTGGCTTCAAAGCTGAAGGAAAACTATGAATTCCAGAAGAATGTTCGTTTAGAGGAAGAGAAGAGAGAAGAAATGATTTGAACAAAGAATTTTCATCTATTCCTAAGCAATAACAATCCAAAGATAAGACATGTTTTGGACAAAATATTCAAATCTAGTAAGACTCTGATAGTTCAGTTTGCTCAAGCGGTTAAAGTGGAGGATCATGATAGGCGTTACTCTAGGCCATTATAATAGTGTAAAAAGCAAGCAATTTAGAAATTCATAAAGCAATAGTAAATATTATGCTTGAATTCCACGAAATATTTTGAAGAACCAATAAATTAATGACGTGGAAGAAATTTTCTAAGATGTTGGCATTGGTAATAGCTATGAGCCAAATGAAAATAATCGCATGTGACGTACCTCACGTCCAAATTGAACAGGGAGCTTCTCTTTATCAGCAACAGAATATGAAAGAATATTACCATCTGGGAGTTCCACGTAAAACAAGTTTGATTTCCCATCAAACTTAGACCTCAGAGAAATTCTAGCTTCACTGTGGTCACCACCTGTAAATGGATCAAAATTTACGAACATTCAAATCACATAACCTAGATACTAAAAGCTGCTGCAATGTTCTTGTTAGGAATGAAAAGTTCATACTCTTTACATGACACCTACAAGTAGATATGATAGATGTGCAAGTATGGTGGATCCCTTGCAAGCAAAGGAAGTCGACAAGTAACAAATGTAACAATCTCCCTACAACAGATGACATCTATCTGGCAGATGCATGCGACAATTCCCAGGAATATTAGAAGACATGCAAGCAAATGCAACAACTCGCCAGTCTATATACAGGGAGAAATCAATGATGAATGCAGCTCAACTGGGTAGTCTATATTAGCATGCTAACGCACAATGCTTGCTCGCAAATGATAATATTCCTTGCAAATGTCACAAGCAGCGGTGATAGTAGATATGCTGCAAGGATGTTGAGTTCCTTGTGAACATAGATACACATGCAATGTGATATTTGCGAGCAGGGACTGAAGATTGCAGTGAATACAGGAGGATTACAACAGATGCAAGCATATATGAACTATTGTGGGAAAACTCTTGCAGTTAACAACCATGTTGAGAAGAAACGCACCCATTATACATTGGACCTAGAGGTTTTATCAATCAAGTACAATTAAGTCCTCCAATTGAAAACTCTAGAGACCCTGATAGTGATAGTTGGGATAAAGGAACTTGGCGTAAGAAGAAAGCCCGCCGATGTATTACTAGAGGAAGGCCCTAACTGCAATAGTAAACATGCAAATTGAATGATTTTGTAGGGTCGAAAAATGAGTAGTTGAAGAAAAAAATGTCACATTCTATCATCTCTTCAGAATCACTGAGGTTTCTGGAGAAATGCCGTATTATTTGAATATAGGACAGATAGCTGGAGATCAAGCTTCACGACCCAATGTCCTATATGTGCACTGCAAAATGTTGCAGTTGTCAAATTGGAGAAAGATGCTCTTAGTTTAGGATTTTTTAAAGAATTTGGTAGTAAATATACAAAAGAGAAATCAAATGAAAAGCATAATACAGATTTTTAGTGATTCGGAAACCAATCCTCCAACACCCAGAAGCACTAAATTTCCACTATATTGTCCACTTAAAATTACATTGGATGACACCCCTTAAATACTACAAAGTTAGGATCGCCATCCAACACCCCTTAAATACTACATATAAGTCTGTTTGTGTGCCTAAATATTCATGTATCCTAAGTGGGCTAATCTGTGTTTGTTTCCTGTGTCAGGGTTCATTCCTCATAAGCAGTAATTAAGGCCTCCAACATGAAGAGCAACTGAGTAGACCTGCTAAACCACATTCCTATAATCATGTAGAAAGGCCACTCAGTAGAGCAGGAGTATTGTTACCTTCACGATTCAATATTCCATGAGATATACATCACATATGGAATAATGAGGGATTTCTGTCAAATAGATGAGCATATTAGTGGACTCCGAACAAGCATGAACAAGATAACCAAATGCTCACGCTTATACTATTATATATCATTCGACTCTGTGGACTTAAAAGACATTGCAGTTAAGTCTAAGCTTTTTAAGTTCAAAGTGCAAACGCTATAAAAGATTCTTTGGGAAAACAAATCCCTGAGTTATGCCAGCAATACTTTTCTTTAAGAAATAAGCAGATGCAAAATAAGCCAACCTGTTTCTTATAAGACTTACTTGAAGCCACCACAGAAAATTCAAATCCTAATTTCTTCGCAGCAAAATTAAATATCCGCTGTATATTAGATGCTTTAGCCAATGGAATTGGTACAACCTGAAACAACATAACATAATGGGACTGTTATTGAAGCCCATAGGTAAGTACAGAGAAGGTATATTATATTGCTAGACAACATATAAAGACGTTCATTCATATCAAATAATGAAATTTCAGAAGTGAATGAAGAGAATCCAAATTTTATCAACAGGGCAAAAGCAGGAACATAATTCATCTGAAATAAATATTTTAAGCCCGGATTTAACATTCCACAAACTACCTAGTTAGCAGTATAACCTTCAATAGATTCTAGATGTGAATTACCGGAATGTTTGCTTTGTGCTTATATAATATAGCCGTTTCAAGTTTTTATGTGTACCACACCCACTCGAAATAACTCCTTGACAGGCAAAAGAGTAAAACGGTTCCCAGACCATATCAAAATACAAGGTTACTCTTGCACTGCATTAGATTTAATTTTTAAGATAAATCTATCATCATTACCTAAGAAGAAACTTGTACAAAATGAACCACAAAAAACTACCTGGAAAAAAGTACAACAGAAAGGAATAACAGAACTTCATAACAAAAATCACTTGAAACTGTTCTAAAAATTGTTCAAAACTTTGAAAGTACAATTGATCATATTTCTTTCTCTTCTCTTTCTTTCTTCTTGTGGGCTCCGAAAATTCGGCCCCGGCCTCCGCCCGCTGTTGCTTTTCCTTTCTTCGGGGAAAGTTTTAACGGATTAAGTTCCGGGGTAAATTTTGGAAGGCAGATGGGTTTGTAGATAAGACACTACCCAGAGATTTCACCCTCATTTTCTGAGGACTTTATGATCTGAGTTCTGGTTTCCTATAGGCGCAAGCCCCTATAGTTAATTACCCCTCTCGATAACGAAAGAGAACTTTCGATTGAGGCTAGTCGTCGATCAGATACGTATAAAATACGTGTTATCTGGCATATAGTAGCACCAATGGGCTTTGGATATTTGAAAAGATTGACATTCAAAAGTAGAAATTTCACCATCTAGTACTTAAAACGGATGGTGGGGGAATGGATGATGGACCCGATCAAGATCCCATGGTTCCGTCGTCCAGGGCCATCATAGTCCCTAGTTTACTTAGTCAGAGAAGGTAGTCGACCCAACCTAACAGAAGGATCCTTGTCGACAGCCATGGGTTGTTTCATCCAAGGAGACCTTGTAGATCTGGAGTGAATGTTTGTCTAAGTGGACAAATTCGAATCCACCTTAGCTAACAAAGGGCTTTGTGCCCTATCAATCATATCATATTTATTCATATCTCAAGGATTTAATGCCACTAAGGAACGTATTGGCTCTGACCATAATGGGTATCTCGTGGTGCCATTTGGCGACAAAAGCACTCGGTTCAGAGGGCCCCGGGTCATAACCGTTTATCCTGCGGTGCCATTTGATGGCAAAACCACTGGTTAGAGGACACGTACCACATCCTTATTGGTAGGAGATTATTTGAGATTGGATCCTAGTGATATTTACGACTAGGCATTTAAATATGTGTGAGCTGAAGTTATATTCGAATTTGTCCACCTAAAAAAACTGTTGTGGGGGGTGGATGGATTTTACTTTAAATGGTTGATGATTTAATTTCAAATTTTAAATATTTTGGACTTGGATGATTTTGTGGAGTTTTGGATTTTTGTGGATATTTGAGAAATCATTTGAAAGTACTTGTGAACCCTTCCGGTTGAGATAAGCATTCAACATGGCCATCATTGGGATGTTCAGGGTAATTTCCATTTGAAATTATTTACATTTTATAGATGAAACTTGTCAACTCTGTCGATCTGTCGACAAATGATCGAATTTTGTAGGCTTTATGCCTTTGTTTATAAATTCTCTTTATTTAAAGCCTTGAATGCCTAATATGAATGTATAAAATAAATATCCCGGTCAACCTAGCGATCATATATTTATTTAATGGTTCGAGCTATGTCAACTCCTATCTACCTGCATAGGAGAATTGGGCTCAAACTTGGGTTTATTTATGGACCCACGCAGCATCCCTAGACGTCACGTGTATGAATACATCACGCTCGTCGAAGCCTATGCGGGTGTTTGGAGGCATTTTAAGATTATTTGTTGAACCTTGTCGACTCCTATTTACATGCTTAGGAAAATCGGATTCAATTTTATTGACCAGCGCAGCATCCCTATACGTCACGTGTATGGCTACAAACGAACCGAGCCGAGTATGTGAGTGTTATGTTTGAGTTCGTTTATCATTAGCTTGTTCAAGTTCTGATCATATTTGATTCGAGCTTTATTATTTGTGTTCATATTTGGTTCGTTTAATTTAATGGTGTTCATGTTTGGTTCATGTTCAGTTCGTTTAATGCTTATCGAGCTTTAAACAAATAAACCTTAACAAGCTATGTTCGTGAACATATTTAACAAACAATCTATTGAACAAACAAATATTAAATTTGTTCATGAACATCTTAAACAAATAATCTAGCAAACATGGATAATTGCGAAATGTCTTTTGTTCAAAAATTAAGTTTATAATAAAAGCATTTGTCTATTTAAAATGAAAATATGATTAATCTATATGAATATATTCTTAAATGAAGCTTACTGTTGCATTTCTCTCCATTTGAGCTTTTATCGAGCTTAATGTCGAGCTTGTTCACGAACTTCAAATGATGTTGTTCGTGAACATAAATGAATCGAACACATTAGTGTTCAAGCTTGTTTATTTAAGGATCGAGTATTTAAAATGTTGTTCAAGTTTGTTTGTTTAGTTAGTTAAATGATCACAAACGAGCTTTAATCGAACCGAGCATCAAGTAGCTCGTCGGAGCTTGGTTCGCTTGCAGCCCTAGTCATGTGTGTAAATACATCACGCACACCGGGACCCATACGGGTGTTTGGGGATATTTTGTAAATATTTATTGAACCTTGTCGACTCCTATTTACCTGCTTAGGAGGATCGGGTTCAAATTTATTGACTCAGGCAGCATCCCTAGACATCACGTTTATTTCCACAACACGCTCGTCGAGGCCTATGCGGGTGTTTGATTTGCCTATGCGGGTGTTTGATTTTATCGATGAATTTTTCTTAAAAAGGGCCTTGAAGGCCTAATATTAATGTATAAAACAAATACCCCGGTCGACCTCGTGATCGCATATTTATTTAATAGTTCGAACAGTGCCAAGAAAGATCAGGTTCGAACCTAGATTCATCATTTGACTCACGTAATATCCTTGGGTGCCACATGCATACCAATAACACGCTCGTCAGGACCCATGCGGGTTTTATGATTGGGAGCATTTTATAATTAAACACTGCCAACTCATTTTTACCTACTTGGGAGGATCGAATTCAAATTTAATAACACGTGTAGCATCCCTAAATGTCATGTGTGTACCAATAACACGCTCGTCGGGGCCCATACATGTGTATGATTTTATCGATGAATCTTGACTAATTTAAATGTATAAAATAAATATTTCGGTCAACCTCGTGACCGCATATTTATTTAATGATTCAGACCGTGTTGAGAATGATCGGGTTCAAACTTAGATTCATTATTTGACCCGCATAACATCCCTAGACATCATATGTGTATTCTCTTTATACACTTTGATTGATAGATAGTTGTGAGCTTAGATCGCCAAGATTTGCATTGATCTTTAACAACACATTTGTTAAACATTGCTTATTAACTCTGGCGAGCATAATGCGTGGTGTGTTGATATTCACTTGAATGCATCTGGATGTATCAATCCTTTGCTACCAACCATGTTGAATCCTTCTGCTTATGGGGTTTAAATGTATCTGCTTGCCATTGTATTGTTATAGAATATTCGAATGTTCTAGTATTGGTTACGTGCTCCTGTATATACATATAAGAATGTCAAAGTTTCCATAAAGAATTCCTTTTTCATAGTGCCTTGCACATTGTTTGTAGACAAATTATGATTCCAAGTTCCTTATCTCTTTTCATGGTTGTAGCATGTAGAATGATTTTTCATAAGTATCTCATTTATTCATGAGCAAATCATGTTCATTTGAAAGCTTGGCATGAATTCTTGCATATTTGCTTGAGTTTGCTCCCCCTCATTCATTTAAGTTCAAGTCCAATATTTCTTAATTTCATTTTGGGCCCTTTGTTACCTTTTATTTGAGCTCAACTAAGTTCATCTTGAATTCAAAATTCTTATGACTTATTCATCTTGATTATGCTCGAATTCTAGTTGAGCTTGCATTCATTGTAATTCAAAATTCGGATTCGAGTTTAAGTCCAATGTCAAGTTTGAGTTCAAGTATAGTTCAGGCATAAGATGAGCGTCTACCCTTCATTCGAGCCCCCTATAGTTAACTTGAAAATAATTGCTTGTGTTCAAATCATTCAAATCATGATTCATTTAAGTTAAGTGAGGTTCAATTAATGCTCAAATCAAGTTTGAGCCCAAATTCTCATTTGTTTAATCAAGTTCAAGTACGGCCTCATGTTCACCTGAAATTTTGGCAACCTCCCGACGTCTCCCTCGTTTAGGGGAAACTACGAGAAACTGGGCATTCCCACCATGCGAAACAAAGGCGTGTATAGGGTCTTCGGTACCTATTTAAAAAGACAGTTTGCTTACCTCTCGCTCGAGGGTACTTATGAGTATCCTCGCCTCGTCGTAGGCATCGCACCGGGTTCCCATTCCACCACGCGCAATAAAGACTTGTATAGGTGATTTTTTGGTACACCGCGAACTCCGAAATGGGGCTTTTAGGTGATTAACCGCCTCCTCGTGGGCGCCACACCGAGGTCCTATCCCACCACGCACAATAAATGCGTGTATAGGCGATTTTCCAGTATGCTGCAAACTTCGAGGGCCTGAATCTGATTTTTAAAAAATTTATACCTTAGCAAACTCCGTCATTGATGTGGAGGGCTCAAAGATCGAGGAAAGAGAGAGGCATTTTCATTTCAATTATCATTAATTATAATTAATTATAAATTAATTAAAATTAATCATAATTAAACATACTTAATCATAATTAATCATAATTAATTAATAA